AAATGGCATTTGTGGTTTGCAGATGCATTCACAAGACATGGTCTGGTCTGGCGAAATGGGCGACGATGCCACTATTCCAAATGAAAGAGAACTTCTCCCATGGCCAACGCTATGATGTGCTCGGAAAGTGGGATGAATTGGCAGAAGGTCACTCCGAGACCGGAGTGAGCAGGGAAGTATCTGATGAAGAAATTTTTACAGTACGCCAGAGAGAGGGAAGCCAGCAAGTCCGCCAAGGACGCCTATGACCCCAACGGCCCTTACACCCTCAAACGCTTCCGTACGAACCAGCTGATCTCATCATTGATCCGAGGAGCGAACATGATGGGAATTGGCAGAGACGTATTTGACCCAAGCACTTATTTGAGGCGCGACGATAACGTGAAGGTTATGCACTTCTGTTGCTTGAACGTCCTCTGCGAAGTTATCCCCATGGTGACAGGACACACACAATTCTCTGTTCTGCGACCCACACCGACTGGACTTGTGGAATTCCTATACATCGACCCGGTGGGGATCCTCCTGATGCACCAGGACTATTCCGTACAAACCATCGGATTGCTTGTTGACCACAACATCCAGATGCCGGCGCACTTTATGAAGAAGCTTACTGCCAGCAGGGTCGAGAGAGAGAGGAATCCAAATGCGCGTCGTCCTGAAGCACTACATCATATTTCAGCCGATGAGTACCTGCCGCGCGGACAGACCTCCATCATGGACACGCCTGTTACGGCAGAGGAGACTGAACGCGCTGCCAAAGCCAAAGCTGCTCCAAAGACCTGCGAACGAAGTGAGAGACATGGTGGCTGGAATGCCAACTCGTACCATGACTACGTCGAGGGGAAGAGCAGAAACAAGGGAAAAGCCAAGGGGAAAGGCAGATCTCCATACCCAGAGGAGAATCTCTGGCCTTGGGAACGTGACTCAGATGAAAGGCTCTGAAACCACATTTCAAAGTTGCGGCGGACTAATCCCTACTGTTCCTATCGCGCCATCTTCCGGGTGAGCAGCGTCGGAGACGCCACTCATGGGGGGTGCGAACGGACTGCGATGCCTAGTCAAGTTCTATGGTGTCACGATAAGAGCTACGAGCGTGGCCTTGTATAGGTCAAGAGTGGAGGCACGCTACGCGTTCTCCATCTCTAGGTGTAGGCCTGTGAGCATGCTACGCATACCACAAAGCCGAACCACTTTATCATATGCCGCCCATGCAACTTTGGCTCAAGAATGAGCACAAGCTCTATAAAGCATTGCCGATAGCTAGAATAGCTTTCGTCTTCTGTGACCTTTCCGAGGAACAGAGCCATCCCGAGCACAGACGTTCCATCGCTGGCCGCAAAGGTGGAAAACAAGCGAGCTCTGGATCTGCCTGCCCTGGGAGTAGTGCTTGCACGTGGGAGTGAAGGAGAGAGCATATCGAGTCTGCAGAGGGCAACCACATCATTACCCAATATAGCTCGGTGGGGTGAGCGACAAGGAACATCATCAAGAACAAATCCCCACGCAGCAATAGTAGTAATAGTAGTAATAGTAATAGTAATAGTAATAGTAATATTAGTAGTAGAAATAATAAAAATAGTATTGGTAGTAATAGTAAGAATTTTTGTAGTATTGATAGTAATAGTAGTAGCAGTGGTAGTAGTAGTAGTAGTTGTAGCAGCAGTAGTACTAGTAGTGGTAGTAGTAACAGTAGTAATAATAACAATAGAAGTAATAGTAGTAATAGTAGTAGTAGTACTAGTAGTAGTAGTAGTAGCAGTAGTAGTAGTAGTAGTAGTAATAATAGTAATAGTACTAGTAATAGTAATAGTAATAGTAATAGTAATAGTAATAGTAATGGTAATAGTAATAGTAATAGTAATAGTAATAGTAATAGCAGTAGCAATAGCAATAGTAATAGTAATAGTAATAGTGATAGTAATAGTAGTAGTAATAGTAATAGTAATAGTAATAGTAATAGTAATAGTAATAGTAATAGTAATAGTAATAGTAATAGTAATAGTAATAGTAATAGTAATAGTAATAGTAATAGTAACAGTAATAGCAATAGCAATAGTAATGGTAATAGTAATAGTAATAGTATTAATAGTACTAGTGATAGTAGTAATAGTAGTAATAGTAGTAATTTTTAGTAATAGTAGTAATGGTAGAAATAGTATAGTAATAGTAGTAATAGTATAGTATCAGTTAGTAGTACTATAATATTAGTAATAGAGTTTTAGTAGTAATCGTAGTAATAGTTGTAACAGTAGTTTTTGTAGTATTTGTAGTTATCATTGTATTAGTAGTATTAGTCGTTATAGTTGTATTAGACGTAACGGTAGTAATCGTAGTAATAGTAGCAATAGTAGTAATAGTAGTATTAGTAGTATTAATAGTATTAGTAGTATTAGTAGTAACAGTTCTTATTGTTGTAATAGTAGTATATTGGTAGTAATAGTAGGAATAGTTGTGAATAGTAGTCATAGTAGTATAAGTAGCAATAGTAATAGTAGTAGTAGTAGTAGTAGTAGTAGTAGTAGTAGTAGTAGTAGTAGTAGTAGTAGTAGTAATATGAGTACATTGATTCAAATACATAGACTCATGGAGTCAAGTTCCAGTTCACAAAGTGAAGCACATCGAAACAATCGTACAAAGAGCCTCTAGACATCGAAGCACTAGACTATAGATGCACTGGGACTATGCACTTGACTCTATGCACTTGAACTTGACTCTAGGATTTGATGTACTTGCTTCTCAGACTTTACCTAGCGCAAAATTCTTGGCAAATGATGCTTTCGGGCCACTCGTCTTCTAGTTTCAGAGATGGTGTCGACGGGAGATTGGCCGCACGAACAGCCGTAATGTTTTCGGAAAACGTTGTTACCCGCGCAAGGTTTGGGAGCTTCGACGTCTCTGCAGCTGCTGGCACCTCGGACAGCGCCTCGTCTGGCTCCGCGGATGACAGAGAGACCAAGGCGGGCAGTGACCAAAATCTCGGAGCGTACAAGTTCTGCAGAGCACCAGTTCCCATTCCTCTCTAACAGATGTCCCGTAAGGCTCCTACGTAGTCTCTCTAGCCCAGGTTGTGGAGAAGCTGGATGAGCACTCAAAGAGCTTGTACAAGTCGCGGTACCACGTCGAGCCGAGGCTGATAAGCTCACAGAACCCTGAGCATCCGAAGACCTAGAATATGATCAAAGTGCTGGTCTTGCTAGCATTATGCATTGGAGGGCGCAGACGCATTCTGAAGCCGCATCGGGTGGTGCAGATTCATTGCAAAGACGCATTGGGATGCGCAGACGCATTGCGAAGAGCATTGGATAGGCGAAGACGGATTGCGAAGACGAGCTGGGGTAGCGAATCGGAGGATAAGAGTTCCGAATCTGAGACAGTGTGCCCCCCAACAGTCCAGCCACCCTCGGTGTTCGAGATTCCTAAGAGTTCTGATTTAGCGCATTGGGCACCCGGTGATTGCCTGCCACGTTGCGAAGCCCGCAAGCAGACTGTGCGCAGAGTTTCGCACACAGGACATGTGATCTATACATGTGTTGAGTTTGGCAGGCTTGGGTGCACATGCATCGTTCTAAGCTTGTGGCTGGCTGCCATTTTGGCTCAAGTGTGAGGCAGTGAGCTGATTTTGGAAGGGGGTTGACCCCATTGCTTTTGCGTTCTCAGGGAGTGACCCTTTTTTGCGGGCCGGGCAGGGCAGGGCAGGGCAGGGCAGGGTAGGGCAGGGCGGGCCAGGGCCAGGCCAGGCCAGGCCAGGCCAGGCCAGGCCAGGCAGGCCAGGCCAGGCCAGGGCAGGGCAGGGCAGGGCAGGGCAGGGCAGGGCAGGGCAGGGCAGGGCAGGGCAGGGCAGGGCAGGGCAGGGCAGGGCAGGGCAGGGCAGGGCAGGGCGGGCAGGGCAGGGCAGGGCAGGGCAGGGCAGGGCAGGGCGCAGGGAGGGCAGGGCAGGGCAGGGCAGGGCAGGGCAGGGCAGGGCAGGGCAGGGCAGGGCAGGGCAGGGCAGGGCAGGGCAGGGCAGGGGCAGGGCAGGGCAGGGCAGGGCAGGGCAGGGCAGGGCAAGCAACAAGAAGAGGGTTGCGTATGGTCCAAGGTTTTTGCATGGCCCAGTGTACACGACCACACAGCAACTGCCTGCTGCTGCTGGCTGCTGCTGCTGCTGCTGCTGGCTGCTGCTGCTGCTGCTGCTGCTGCCGGCTGCTGGCTGCGGCTGCTTGCTGGCTGCTGGCTGCTGAAAAGAGAAGGTAAAGAGGAAGGAGGAGGAGAAAGAGAAGGAGAAGGAGAAGGAGAACGAGAAGGAGAAGGAGAAGGAGAAGGAGAAGGGGCAGGGGCAGGGGCAGGGGCAGGGGCAGGGGCAGGGGCAGGGGCAGGGGCAGGGAGAGGGAGGGCGAGGGCGAGGGCGAGGGCGAGGGAGAGGGAGAGGGAGCAGGGAGCAGGGAGCAGGAATGCCAGGGCCAGGACCAGGACCAGGACCAGGAGGAGGAGGAGGAGGAGGAGGAAGAGAACGAGAAAGAGCAAGAGCAAGAGAAAGAGAAATACAAACAGAAAGATAAAGCGAAAGAGAAAGAAACAGAGAAAGAAAAAGAGAGAGGGTAAGAGAAAGGGAATGAGAAAGAGCAAGAGAAAGCGATAGAAAAAAAGATATGCATGTGCGCAGCTGGTGGTCGCTTTTAACATGGCCCTGCCTGCTGCTGCTCCAGAGTAGATTCACAAGAATTTTACGAATCAGCGCTCCCCATTCCTCGCCTGCTGCCATGTACTGTTACGTTACGTAAACAAGAGTAGCTTTCGTTCCCCTGGCGCCGCCCCTCAAGTACATGTGTATACATATATACATGCTCCAGAACCTTAAATAATAAGGCAAGGCCTTGTTAGTACGACCTCAAAAGCCGAGGCCACCGGCAAAGTTTGCATGTTTGAGGTTTCCGGATGCTCACGGCAAAAATGGCCCATGCAGACTACGCTGTAGGTTTCGAGTTCTCATCAGCCGCAATTCGGAGAGGCTGCGACTGGAGATGCTGCCTGAGATGCTGGCCTCTACTCGGCACTTTGATAGCGATGTACAGCGGCTGCGGGGCATTCTGTGCAAAGTGGTGCCGGCGGAGCTCCTAAACAAGGAGTGCGATGAGAAATTGGACGCGGCTGACATAGATCAGCTGCTGAAGGACTCCGAAGAGATCAAAACCGCCTTGGACTCCATTTTTTTCAAGTTTGGCACGCACGTGTGTCCACAGGTGGTGCTTGGAGGTTGGTGGCGTTTGGCAGCCAGCTACCGTAGCGTTTCCAAGCAGAAGCAGGTGGACAAAAGCAATATTTTGACTCAGGCACTGAACGATGCGGAGGCCAAGGCAAGCTTCGCGAAGGCTTCCGTGTCGGGAAGCTTTGGTGGTTTTTCGGGCTCGGCTGCAGTCGAAGGCCACAAAACTGCTACCGAAGCGGCGGAAACAAGCAAGACAAATTCCAACCGGGACGTCAAGAAGGACGCATACAGCGAAGCCCACATCGAGGTGTCACAAGCGTGGAGAGGTGGCGCGTCGGGTACGCCTCCTGTAGACTGGCGACGGAGTTTGGATGACACAATGAATTCCAACTGGCGAGTCATTGATCGCGAATTCAGCAGATGCGTGGGGGTGTGGTCCTGGGCCAACAGTGACGATCTGAATCTGTGCCTAAGCCGAATGGAGACTATGATTCATAGTTCATAGTTTTTCCTCTTGATTTTAGACCTTCTTCCCTTGATTATCTTTTTTCGTGGGCAATGCCGGGCACTGGAAAGGAGGAACTTGATGTGTCAACATTGGCTTAACAACTTTGGCAAATCACGCCTCGATGCTGACAGCCGACAAATTTACTGCAACATTGCTCCTTGGCTTGCTGGTCACCTTGGTCTGCATGTCCTAAGTCTTAAGTCTTCAACAATCTTGTGTAGACCGGTTATTTTTCCGTGACTATGTGTTCAAGCCGGAGGGAGCCCTTATGAGCATTTAGTGTAGCTGCCTTGAAAGCATCCTTCAGAGATCTAAAGACTGCTACCCACCATGTTTGCTGCAGCTTCTTGGTGAATGCATGTTTAGTTTCAGTTCAAGTGCCGCTGAGGATGATGGGTTGCGATTCATTAAGATCACTACAACTACTGCGGCCCCGTGGGGCCCGTGGGGCCCGCCGACACCGGTTGCGACGGGACTGGACACTGCGACCAGGTACGGTGTGGCATGTAACACGAATGACTGCATTTCCAGAGCAGTTTGCCCCTTCGGCTATGCCCTCACGGACTGCAAGGCTCCTGTGCCAAATTAAAGTGTGGTTTCGTATGCAGGGAAGTCGCCGACAAAGTCAAAGCGTGTAGAAGAGGGGGCGCGACACCGTTTGGGAACGGTCTCATCTGCCACGAGGCCACGGACAAGAACTCCAACGGTGTCAGGATTGGATCCAACTTTTGCGATGCGATCGGTGAAACCGGTGTCTCCGCTTGCCAGCTTTTTGTCTGACGCATGTGTATGAATGGCCGTGGAAGCTTGTTTTGAGTTGTGGCCCGCAGTGCAACTGAGGTGGAAACTTGGTTAAGGCCGAAGCCACGTGTTCACGCACCAAGAGCACAGTCGTGGTGACAAGAGACAACCCAAATCATGGTCAATTCTTCGATCCAGGAGACAGCAACTCTCCTTTTTCCTTGGAATGCCCAGCCGGCAGCTCGACCATTCTGTTAACGTGCTTCTCGCCGTGGGATGTGTGCAAACAAGTTGCTGACTATGACGACCAGGGGCGCGTCCCGACAGCTTCTGGTTTTGTCGTGGAGCCATTTGGTGAAGTTTTTGACTCGTACAGGGAGACTGGTAAAACTAAGGGAGTGCACCTGAACGCTCTCTGTGAAATAACAGCAGGGTCCGTTGACGACGAAGACTCCACCATCCGAGTCACGGGTCAGGCATGTTTAGGAAGGAAGTGTGCCCACAGAAATTTCGCTGCAACGTGTGGATCAGCTTATGCGGTCATAGGCTGCGAAGTCACTCAAGGCGCTGATTTTGGAGAGGGGCTGGGGCTCCGCATCGAAGGCAAGACGTGCGTTGGTTTCGTAACTGACAAGGGTCCTGGCCTGAACAAATGGTACCAAGTTACAGCCATTTGCTCGGCCAAGCGCTACACGTATGAGATATATGCCCTTAGAGTCGATACCTACAAAGCAACTGGAGTTACGCTTCATTCGAAATGCGTGGACGACAGAGGTGTTGACTCGTTCGTCCTGCAGTGCTTTTGCCATTCACCATGGGGGCATTGCCAAGATGCGGGTGTGTCGCCTTCTTTTGCGCCGACAACCTGGAAAGAATGCGAACTCAAGACGGCCCTGCAAGCTGACGGAGCCAACACAGGCATCAACATCCAGGCGCTTTGCGAGAGGAGCCACTAATAATTAGTGGCCAACAGCTGAGGAGCTGGATGCTAGGAAAGTGTCGCTCATAGTTGATTTAGATTTTTGCCTTGTTGCTTTCCGTGTGCAAGCACGGAAGCTCCTTGCCAAGCAAAGAGTCCCTGCAACGCAGCCTACTCGAGCAGCATTCGTCTAACAAAGGACAGCAAAACCATGAACACCCACGTCTCCTTGGTTTCCTTGATTGTGCATTTCTCCGTGGTTCATTGTCCGTGTGGGCAGCTGATTGGACTCGGGATTTCAGTCGCCGGGAGCTTGGTTGGCCCCTATCGCCATGTCTGCAAGGACCGCGCGCAGGGCCATGCAGAGCGCCTTTGGCCTTTTCGGCTTCGCCTGCTCCGCCTGTGCTTGGGAGGCGGGGGAGGAATGTTCTGCACTCCAACTGCAGCAGTCGCAGCCACAGCCGTGGCGGCAAGCCGGCTGGCCCTACCCTCCCCAGCTTTGCCAAAACCAGACGACCGTGAGCTTTGTGGGTATGACGGGCACCCTCGAGACGATCGCGGCTTGCGACCGGAGCTACGCCAAGTTCCAGCTTGACAGCTTGCTGCAGCAGCAGCGGCTCCTGCCCTGGGGCGACATTTGCACGGAGGACTGCGCCGGCTTCGACGTGGACAGCCAAGCCTGCTGCGGCTCGACGACTCGACAGAAACAAGGAAGAGGGACCGTCCATAACGGGCAAAATGTCCCGCTTTTCCCTGCCGTGCTCCGAGGCTGCAAGTTCTACCAAGACCACAAGCAGACCGTCAGCCCCCGCTTCGACGGCACGCTGTGGACGGAGCTGCGCTTCGAGCTGCGAGCCGAGCGTGGCTTGGAGCAGGAGCTCCGCTGCCGTGAGGTGGTATGAGGTGGTAGGCCCAGTGTACACCCCGACTTCCAGTGCCCTTCGGCCGTTGCCAGGACCTGCTGCAGACGCTCAGGCCCGTGCCGTGGAGCGACGTCGAAACTCGGGACAACTTTCTGCAGCTGTTGCGGAGCAAGGCCCATCGTGCGGTGCAAGGGCATGTGTTGTCACCCCGGCAGTGACATAATCACAACGACGTGCCCGCACGGAATGATTAATTGCAACGACACCTACGAGACTTCGGCATGTCATGTTTGGATCTAATTGTCCTGCCTCATCTGGCTCCATGCAACAGGCTTCAGGCATTTTTGGTTCCAGCCTACAGTCTTGATTCTCAATTGTTCTGTGCTTGACACCTTGACAGCCTTCGCAGGCTTCAGCTGCTCGCTTTCTACCGCAGCTTGTGGTATGTAATTGCGCACTTTCCAGCACGTTCCTACCTTGTGCAGATATACATGGCAGGGCATCTTCAAGTCATCGCAGCTCCGGAGCCTCAAGGATCGGGACCTTGCAGTCGGCGACGCCCTCGCCCAGGCCGTTCTGCAAGACGTGAGGTCCAAACAAAGGGCCACTGAGCTCAACCTGGCGGACCTGCCCAAGTCACTCTTGCAGAAGGCTGGTCACAGTGTGACGACTATTTGCCTTGGTCCCTGTCCTTTTGGGAAAGGTCCGCAGCGAGAGCAATGCAAGCAACGCGTCGGGCGCAGGAGGCCCAACCTCTCCGACCCCCAAGCCATGCCGGGCGTTGTCCCATGATCCTGCTCTCTGAAATGCTGCAGACCACCGAACAGTAACGCCAGGTCACGACTTGGTGGGCCAGTTGCTGCCTATCTCTGGGCTGCTGAGCTCCTCCGGCATACTGCACGGCGTGAGGCTCGCGTGGGCCTGCAGTGAGCACTGTATTTGGTGCCGTCGGCTATCTGGTTCGAGAGAGAGAGAGAGAGATAGCCATTTTGGCTCAAGTATCGCACCTTTGCTTGGGGGCTTGTGCTGCCTCCTTGCATCGGGGGGGGGAGCTGGGGGGTTAACCTGGACTGTTGCCCCAGGGGAGCCTTCCCAGTTGCCCCAGCGGTGCTTGAGTCGCATACCCGACGCCACTGTGCTTAAGAGGCCCTTCTTAGGACTCCAGGAACGGAGCCATACCCGTCAACGGCAAGTTCGAACTTCTACTTCGAGATCCGTGACCTCTAAACTGCAAGGTCTTCACCGTGTGCACTCTCAAGCAGGGGGAGACAGTCCTCTCCACCACTGTCGTCCTTCAGTTGCCGGCCGAGCTTCGCCTACAGAACCACCTCGCTGGCCGGGGGAGTTTGTCGACCGGACGTTCGTGACTTTGGGCAAGCACGGGGACCTAGTGAAGAACAAACTACGGAAGGCCAAAAGAGCGCGGGGGAAAGACGCGCCACCAGTTAGCAGCACAACGCTGGACCCAGACACAGGACGACACGTAGCCCAGGACGATCAGTTGGACGAGGGGGAGACCAGGGTCAACTACGACAGACCGTCAAGCTCCAAGACAGCGGGGGAAAAGTACAAGAGAGCCAGCAGGCCAAGGCGACAACAGGAGTGAACCACAGACGTAACAAAAGGCCCGGACGGAAAAAAGAGCCGGCGGCCAGTGAGGGGAAGTACAGTCGGTGACCTTTTCGCAAGTAGGGGGACTCCCACCCTGTACTCGTTTCTGCACTGTGTCTTTTGTTCCTTGGTTGTTGTTCAAAAAAGGGGAGATCCCACTGCAACCTTTCTTCAAGCTGTTCCGGTGTAGTTGCGGCCGTAAGCCGTAAACCTCATAAGGGTAACCATGTACATTCCGTCAATAAATCCGTGCATGTTTAAACATTCCTGTGTTTCCGTGAGCATGTTGCGAGGCGTGAACTCTTTAAGCGGGCCTCTGGGCTCTTCTCGGGCAAAACACCTTCACTCAACTGGGCTGGACAGCCCTCAATCCCAGTTTCTTTTCAACGCGCCTCGTACATCTCCTTCTAGATGAATTCGGAGGACAGGAGGCTTTAATTCAATTCGTTCATTCCAGGGTATTTCAAGGTATTCCTGCTCGAAGAAGTGGGGGCATGCAAGTTTTTCCTCCTGACTCCTAGGGCTGACCGGCGCTGTTGCGCAAGCACAGTTGCTGTGTGAGTCTTGGTGGATGTAGGCTTGGCTTGCTTGGCTTGTTTTCGAAAGCACGTCAGGGGGGGATTCAGCAAACTTTACTCCTCATATAGACAGAGCCCCGAGGAGAAAATCTCTGAGGGGAAGGGACACCCCGCCAATGGTCCGCGGGAGTGCGCTCGCGCACGGAGGGGTAGCCGGGACGCTGCTGCCCCTTCACGCCCCGTAGAGAGAGAGAGAGAGAGAGAGAGAGAGAGTAGCCATTTTGGCTCAATGTGCCTCGGACGTCTTCTCCATCGACCGCGACCCCGAAGTCTCAAGCGGGGGGAGTGGGGGGAAGGCAATGGCATGACTGCCCCCGCTCCCTGGAAGTATGCACTGATTCGCTTCTTCATCGGTTGCGCCGGATGCACTTTCTTGATCAACCAGTTCTGGTGTTCCGTCATAATAATCGTGCTTATTGTGCTTGGAACTGCGAAGGCCGCGGCAGCTGGATGGGGAAGTTTGGGAGGTGGTGTCGCGCAGATCTTCATGATTCTTACACTTGCCAATTCCATGGTTATGTTTGGCATCGCAGCTCAGCAGACCCGGTCTGGCGCAGGGGTGAGCAATGTGGTAAGCTAGAAGAAGCACAAAATCCAATTAAAGGAAGGCCTGGCTTTATAGTATCTATGTAACACAATATGCATACATATTTAATGGCTTCCGCCAAAGCCGCCGACCGCCAAGAGAACAACAAGCTCTGGTGCCAGCAGCCGGCCACGGCCGGGACCTGAGAGTTAGAGTTTGGATTTAAGGTTTTAGGGTTTTTGTTATTGATGTTGGGTTTGGAGGGGGGGGGCAGGGCGTGCTTAAAAATACCCTTGGTTTCGATTTTTGGTTTAGGCTTTGGAGTTTAGGGCTTCGGGCTTTTAAGGTGCAGGGTTTAGGCTTTGGGGTTTTCAAACCATATGCCTTAACGACCCAAACCTTACACCCTAAACCCCTAGCCCCAAACGTTTATAACTTAAAACCCATACTAAAGTTATTCATTTTATTAATTACTTACTAGACCTTAAACCAAACCCTGAACCCCTAAAGCCGAAACCCACTGGCCGTACACCCTAAGCCCTAAACCTTGACCCCTAAACTGTTATGACCCATAAACCTTAAGCCAATCCCTGAACCCTTAAGCCTTAAACCCCCTGCCTTCAGGTCTTCCGACTTCGTCTTCGTTTTCGCTGTTGAGGCCGGGGGCGCTTCAAGACCTTAAACCTAAACCCTACACCCTAAACCCCTTGACCCCTAAACTTTTATAACCCACAAACCCTAAACCAATCCCGGCCCTGAACCCCTAAACCCAGTGCCTTGAGCTTGTTTTGGAGGTGGTTTTTTCAGGTAATTTCAGGTTGGGGTTTAGTGGGCGAGCCTGATTAGAGGCCCCAGTCAAACGGATTGGGTGAGCTCTGCGGGGCCCCAATCTACTGGGTGTGCCCTTTGGGCCCCAGTCCGGGCGAGCTTTGTTGGGCCCCGTACCACTGGGTGAGCTGCATTGTGGGCCCCAGTTTCAACCTGCTGGGCGAGCTCCTTGTGGGCCCCAAAAACCAAGCGAGCTCAATTGGGCCCTGGGCAACCCTGGGGCCCCAATACCCTGCTCGGTGAGCTCCTTGTGGGCCCCAGCAACCAGGTGAGCTCAATTGGGCCCTGGTCAACCCTGCTGGGTGAGCTCCTTGTGGGCCCCAGCAACCAGGTGAGCTCAATCGGGCCCTGGTTAACCCTGCTGGCTGAGCTCACTGCGGGCCCCAGTAAGCAGGTGAGCCTATGGCCCTGGTTAACATTGCTGGGTGAGCCCCACCCACGCCCGGGCCCCAGTATTCTGCTGGGGTGAGCCCCATTATGGGCCCCCAGGAACCAGGCGCGCTGAAATGGGCCCTTTTTAACATCACACGTTGTGCTTGAACCTGCCAGGTCTATGATGGTGGACGATTTCTGATCTCGATGGTCTCGGAGGCAAGTTGTTTGGTAGTAGTATTGCTCTTGATGTCGAGTGTAACTGTAACAGACTGTAAGTATTTCCCCATTATTTCATCTGCAGGTCATCGATTTCGTCTTCGAGGCAGATCACTGGCATCGCTAAATCGATACAATTGCAGCCGCAGCCTTTGCAGTTGCAGCATTTCCTTGCCAGGTCCAGGTTGCATCCTTCGGCTTCGACTTGGAAGGTGGCGCCAGGAGCTGAGACTTACAGTTCGTTCATTTACTCTTCATGAGTAAGGCCAATAGTTTCAATTTCATCGCGGAGTTCAGCCATGTTCACACCTTATCGGGCCGGCTTCTCAGATGCTTGACAGTGAATGAGATGATCATCCCGTCCCGATGGAGTTCGTGCACGGCCAGGTCCGCAACTTATCGTTCGGGTTTCTCAGATTCTTGAGAGCGATTAGATGATCGTCAGGTCCACAAATTGCACATCTCGATTGCGTCTTCGTCTTCGTAGGAGATGCCACGAGCATTGCTTGTCATTATAAAGTCAGTGAGTGAGAAATGCATGACAGGCTGGCTAGCAGAACCGCTCGGATGGCTTCGAGGCAGCTGCGCTAGCTTAGCATGCTCCAAATTGGTGTGGAACCATGTTCTGCAAATGCCAGGTCCAGCATTTCTTCTTCATGATCATTGTCTTGGTTCAGGGTGGCTGCCGGAAGAGGTCCCTTCAGCTTCTTTTTGTTGCCGAGAGTGTTGTTGCATGCATGCACATTGCCGACTTGCAGCGTTGCATAATTGCATTCACCTTGCTTTGATTGTGGCCGGCTCAAGTGCACATGTCATAAAGTTCCGAAGATCATGTGCAGCGTCAGGTCATCAATCGTAAACCAGGAACTCAATGATACAGGGCTTTAGAATCTAGGCTAGGCCTTAGGCACTTCACTTCCATACATATCGATGTGTAGGTACATAGGCCCTTCCATCTTCCATGACTTCCGCTTTACGTATCTGGGCTTGGATTTAGTTTAGCCTGGGTGGCGTATTGATGTGATAACCTGGCTCCTGTACTGTAGACTGTAGACTGTAGACTGTAGACCCTAGGCCCTAGACTCTAGACACATAGGTCCTTTCAGGACTTCCGCTGGCTTAGATTTAGTTTAGCCTGGGTGGCATATTGATGTGATAACCTGGCTCTTGTACTGTAGATACACAGGTCCTTTCAGGACTGCCGCTCCCGCTCTTCATGTGTCTGGGTTATGGCCTGGATCCTGTCCGGAGTCAATAAAAAATTTAGCCTGGCTGGCACATAGAGTCATTGAAGGCTGTGCACTAAGTTTCGCAAGTTTTCCTGCGCCTCCTGCGGTCGCCATAGCAGCACTGGCAGCCCGTCAGCACTACATCCTCCCTCGGCTTCGATTTTCGCCTTGGTCTTCGTCTTCGTGTTGCCCGGATGAATTCATTGATTGAGTGGTTTCGGCAGCAGGAAAGAGTTTTGCACGTTGTGCTCAAAAATTCTGAGGATGGCGAACATGGAACGCTACCAATGCATCGACCTCGAGGGCGTGGTCGTTGCATATGGTGCGGAGTTCGATTATGGGAGGATGAGCACTTGGACTGCAACTGTCTTGTAGGCTTCATGTTTTTGGCCTTTCACTGTCTCACAGTCTCACACCTGCATCATGCATCACTCAGGTGCCAAAGGGCCTGCGGGTAAAGGACGAGACGTTATGGGAGGCTACGTCCGTCACTTTTACCCGGGGTACTGCCACACGTCCTACGATGTGCGAGGAATGTGGCCTCGCAACATCCGAGACGACAATGGCAGATCGCTTTCGCCTTCGCGTGTCTTGCCCTTTACGTATTTACTGAAGTTACTTGTACACATTAGGAGGTGAACTTCCTGTGCTCGAGTCTGCCGTATGCCTCGTCAGGTTCGGCTTCGGTTGGGACTTGGAACCCTCTGGAGAATGAGGGTTTTTTATCCGCATGCTGGAAGAGGGCTGGTACACCGTGATCGCAGTCATCGGCTTGGTTTCTTGGATTATGATGATATGATATAAAAATATAATCAGTTATGAGTTATGGGACTTCACTCAGTTTTTCTCCATACCTCGATCCAAGGCCTTCGGACTGGCAGGCCATGGAGAAAGTGTTCAGCATTGCGTGGCCCTTTCTTGCAACTCGGCTTCCTCAAGTACTAAATGTACATGTTGCTACATGTTCAGTGCTTGAACTTTTCCTTGACTCAGGCTCAGCGGGCCTTCACCGAAGCTTGTCTTGCGCCATGGTCTTGGCATACCCGTTCGGCCTCGAGCTTTGGGCACCTTCGGTCTGCAACGAGCCGTTCGTGACGCCTGACCAGATCCCTGGGCGAGATCCTGGTGGCTGCAGAGAAAAGGCCAGATCTTAGGGAAGTTCTTGTCTCTGCACTCAGCCCATAAAGCCCATAATGTCCGCTCCTTGAGGATGGCGGTCACATGCATGTACATCGGCATCGAACGCCACTTCCCGTACAAGGCTACGCCTTCGCAGCCGGATCCTGAGAAGAAGGCGCCTTCGGAGGCGGCTTCGTCTTCGAAGCAAACGCCTGCGGCTACGTCGGGGAAGCAGCCGCCTGGCCCACCCCCTGGGCCACCGCCTTCGGCGCCGGCGCCTTCGGAACCGACGGAGGTCTGTCTTAGCCGTCGCCTTTTGTTGTGCTCCCGACTCCCGACTCCCTGTCAGTCCTGCCTGTTTGTCAGGCCATGCTGAAGCTCAAGGCCGACCTTCCCGACCTGTACGCCGTCTTAACGGAGCTGAAAATCGATGCGTCCGCTTGGTCGGTTATGTGTGCGTTGTCTTCAGAAAACAGCGCCATGGCCCGAGAGTTTGTCTTTCTCTGCGAGAGGATCCTGGGCTGCGGCACAGCGTGTGCTGGCAATGGCAATTAATGACATATGTGGAATCTGTGGAATTGTGGAATACAACTGAATATTCAAATTTCAAATTCCAAAACAAGACAGAGCCGAGGAAGCGGCGTGACACCGGATACAACTCCCTCGCCCTCGCCTTCGACAATCCTTCGGCAGCGGTCATGTGGCACTGCCAGAGCCGCTTCAACAAAATCTCCGGCTGCTTAGCGTGAAATTTATTACTGATTGACTTGAATCTTGAAACATTAGAACTTTTGCACACATCTTGAAATTTGAAGTTTCGTTGACTCCTCAGGACACAAGCCTGGCCAGGGCCGAGACGGCCGAGGAGAGACCTGGACTCAGAGTGGGTCTTGGAATCGCAACAGAACGCCGCGCTTCGACCGCGACCGTGGCCAGGGTAGCGGTAGCTGGGGGGGCGGCACTTGGCACAACAGCCGCTAGCCCTGCTGAATGCTCGCCTCCGCCTTCATCCCATAGGTCTTCTTCGGGCAATATTCTTCCAGGACCAAAATAGCCAAATATTGCATAAGGCATCAACGCTTCCCTCGAGCATTTTGCATGGGCAGTGCGACATGACTGGCCGCATGATGACACACACTGTCGAAGGTTCGCCTTCGTCTTCGGAAATTACTCACAAGTTCACAAGAGTAGTCAGAGTGGTTGTTATATGTACTATACAAAAAAGGCTGTGTTGATCAAGAGGCTCACTAGCCATGGGAGCCTTCGGCAGATGTGTTTTTGCAATGAAGTGCTGGCATTATTCCTTCCTTTTGGACGTGACCAGCAGCCGCATGCAAAAAAACATTGCGTGCAACGCATGATATTGATTTGCGCATTGCCCCTTTAATTTGCCAGTGACTTTCTCGTGCCAGGTTAGATCAGACCTTTGTCGACCAAGTGGCTCGTAACTCAGTTTGCCAGTCCATGTACAGATGTGATCTTATCGCCTGAATTTCCTGCCAGGTCCTGCCATTGATGACTTGGACTTCGACTTCGTTTTCGGCCAGGCCTGGCAATCTCGGTTGGGCAGGGAATTGTAATACGTCGCGTTCATTACCCATGTCGTTGGTCCATTACAACATTTGAGCACATCTTAATTTTGGAAGTGCTTGCAACCCGCCAGCACACGATTTTGGCATGTAACACTCTTGTCATACATAATGGGAATCTTCGAGTTCCATGGAACCACTTGAGTCATTGATATGATGGCTAAGGGAGCCCAGGGGGGGGGCATTCAATCATTCAGTCGTATTCTGACAGGGTTTGAAGTTTGAAGTGTGCCTTCACGACACAGCTCGGGATCAAGAGCAGTTTTAATCTAGCCAGGGTGGAGACCACCCCAGACTCGACTAACTCCCAAACCCTGAGCCCAAAACCTAAGCATCAACAAATCAAGGCTCTTCTCCGGGCTGCCCCGTCACCATCCCTCTTAGCTTGGACTCCCTTGGACACCGGGGTGTGTTCACACATCCCTGAGTCACTTCAGAGCTTCACTAAGGGCTTTGTTCAAAGGTTGGGGTTTGATTTATGGATGGTCTTGGACGGATTCGAGGGTCAGGTAGATTTCGAGGATTTCGAGGCAGCCACTCATTCACGAAAATTGTGTTTGGTTGTCTTTGCCTGTGCCGCAATCATGCCGCGAAAGCGCCCGCGCAACAATGACGCCGCTGCTGCTGAGGGCGCGCCTGCTGAGACTGACGCTCCCAAGGCCAAGGCTGCTGCCAAGGCTCCCGCAGCTGACCCTGCCCCCAATCCTTCGGCTGCGCCTTCGACTGGCCCGCCTGCGTCGAAGTCTTCGTCTGGGAGTTCAAGAGAACCTTGGTCCGTGTAAATACTGTTTTCTTTGTCTATCAAGGTTCCTACAATGTAATTCATGCAATTTGTAATCATCTACCAAAACCGTTATAGTTATAGTTATGATTTATAATAGTTATACTTATTATAGTATAATGTTTCAATGAACACGAAACCAACCAGAACATCGAGAAGCTCATCGCGCAGCTCAAACAGTGGGAAACGCTGTACAGCCTGCACCAACCCGAGCTCGCGGTCTACGCCCAGTTCGTGCAGCATAGCACGATGGTTTCTTGGCTTCTTCCGTAAGTTTTGTCGTCTATCCAAGATTTTCGAGGTGCTTTAGTCATGTCGGTCGTGACTTAGTGACACTAACTTAGTGAAGTCTTTTTTCGGTTGGCCTCAACTCAGACTGGCCAGACATCGCAGCTTCGGGGCCTGAGTGGGCCGCCGAAGCCTTGGAGGCCTTTGCCCGACTTGGTCTTCGAGAGAGGCGGCAAGGGAAAGGCCAACGTCGCTGACGCGCAGAACAAGGGAAAGGGCAAGGACGGCGTCGCCTTCGACTTCGAGAACAAGGGCAAGGGCAAGGACGGCGTCGCCTTCGACAAGGGCAAGGGCAAGCCCAGCGGCAAGGGCAAGGACGACGACGCCCACCTCAAGGGCAAGGGCAAGCCCGGCAAGGACGGCGCCGCCGATGACAAGGGCAAGGGCAAAGGCAAGGATGGCGCCGCCCATGACAAGGGCAAGGGCAAAGGCAAGGACGGCGCCGCCGATGACAAGGGCAAGGGCAAAGGCAAGGACGGCGCCGCCGATGACAAGGGCAAGGGCAAAGGCAAGGACGGCGCCGCCGATGACAAGGGCAAGGGCCAGCCCGGCAAAGGCAAGGACGGCGTCGCCGAGGACAAGGGCAAAGGCAAGGACGGCGCCGGGAAGAGTAAGGGAAAGGACACCTAGCGTTCGTCGAATGCTCGCCTTGGTCTTCGTATTCATAATTCATAATTAGTCATAACTTACGTTTTAATTGAGTTCCACAAAGAGCAAGCATTCGACATGCGGTGTCCACTGCTGGCACTGCCCGCGTGCATCCAGATCAAAAAGAAGTGTTTTTGATCCTGCCAACACATCATGTAAATGTCAGTATGTAATACCATGCTGGTGAAGACTTGCCCGGCCCTGCGTCCCTTTTACCAGTGATTGTTTTCTGATTCCTGATTGTGCCAGGCTTCATCAGACCCATGGGGTCTATAGATGGTTCGTGACTCAGCACGCCATTCCTGCAGCTGCAGATTCAATCTTGTCTTCTGAGTCTCCTGCCTGCCAGGTCTGTTACTACCAGCAGCAGGTCGTTCGTGACTGAGCATGCCGTTCGCTGCATATCGGTGTATCTGGGTTTGATGGGGCAGGTCGGCCCTCTCGCCTTCGTCTTCGACGCCTTGGCTGGACATACGAGGCGCTTGCTTTGCCTTCGGCATCAGCAGATATGCAGGTCCGGGGCATGTGAAATTGTGATTGTCCGGTGCACTTCCCGACGAAAAAACATGAATTCGAAGTGGTGTTCGGAGTTGAACTTATGCCGAAGCAGACATACTATGGGTACGTGAGCAGTGCTAGAGTGGGCATCCCTTGTCAGGTACAACTGCACTTCAGACTTCAGCGCCTTTTGGGCGTCAAAGTCGGCCTGACTGGTTGCTGTGTTGTGCCGTCCTTGTTAGAGTGAGACTCTGAGTGAGATGCATGCTCCCGTGCTTTAGCTTGACCTGCACAGTAACCGCTGCAATTCTGCAATTATTTGGCTCGAGAGGAGGAGGTACTTCGCCTTCGCCTTCGTTTTTCGCCTTCCATGTCGCTTTCGCGGTTGGACATACCTCGGCCACGACAGTGGTCCGACGTCGTGGTTGTAGCGTGGGGAGTGGAGTTCACGTACAACCTGCCGGATGGTTCCTTGACCGCAACTGAGGCAAGTAAGTGGGTTTCAAGTCCAGGGTCCTGAAATTTTACTCGGTATGCTGAGGCAGCGCTGGGCCTGGGAAGCACGTCATGGCGCAGTACCTGAGCGACCGGTACCAGCACTACTGCCACTTCAGGGTCGACGTGCGTGCCAATGGTCTTTGGCCTGCGGACCCTGCGCGCAACCCCGCTCCACGTGACATCGCTGAATTCAGAGTTGAGAGTCTAGTCAATTGGTCGGTCGGTCAGCCACCTCGCAATTCTTGGCACTTGGCTCTGCCTCAAGTTTGATCTCCTCTCAGGTGAGGGAGGTGTGTTATCGCCGCAGTGGGTGCGCGGGCTCATCGACAACAACCTGGGCAAGAGAACGCTGCGTTGGTTGTACTCGCTTCTGGCAGCTTTGGAATCTGTCGTTTACAGCGACGGATATCGCCTTTGCCTTCATGTGATGTGACCCCTGGTTTGCATTGTGGCACACTGCGTTTCTTGACATTGCCTAGGCTGCCTAATAGCCTAAGCCTATCTGTTCAAACGACAGCTCAGGCTCACGGGGGAAGCACAGAAGCGCGTCGTTGGCATTGGTCTTGGCCTTCGTCTTCGGCGCAAAAGTCTTCTTGCCCACGTACCAGGGCGCTGCAGCGAGGGAGATGCAGTGGCAGATTGTGGAGGCCGGCCATCCAGTCATCCAGTAGTAGCTTAGTCTGGCAGGGAAGGTATCGGTTGTGGTGCTGCTTGAAGCTTGTGCCCCTGAGGACTCACTGCGAGAGTCCTTCACTTCGTGGGTGACCTCCGTGCTCCGGCAGCACGAAATCGTCCAACGCTATGCGCCGATGCCGAAGACGGCGGCGAAGGCGGCCGCGAAGCCCAGGCCGAAGCAGAAGGCGCGACCCAGAAGGCTGGCCTTGGCAGCTCCGTCTTCGGCTTCGAGATCGCAGTCGCCTCAGGAGGGAGACTGGTGGCGATGTCCCTACGTGGAACCTCTTGAGGGTCGCGAGCCTCGAACCTGGGACGAGGACTGGGAGATGGAGCAGGCCGGGTGGAAACAGTTTGCCCCCCTCTTTTTTTTAACAGATAATCACAATTCACAACCTACTTTCAATCTGAGGCTTGCCACGAGATCTTCGCGAAGTCGCCAGAGTTGTTCACAACTTTGCGAAAAATTTGCGTGGACGACGAGACGTGGTTGGCCTTCTCAAGTTTGGTTTCGGCAGGTGGGCGACTTCTTCAGGAGGCCTCCGCCTTCGTCCCGGTCGCCTTGGGCCAGATGCAGCGCCGCCAGTGCGAAAGCCATGGGGAGCACTGGCTGCAGAACATGAGCGCCTACGCTTGCCACTGGGTCCGGGACCGGTGGCAAGCTGTGGATGGCTCAGGCAGGTGGCCAGGGACCCGAATAAGGACATAAGCATACAGCATTACACGTTTACGTTACCTTCTTGGACCCGCATGTAATGTAAAGGGGGTTTGGTTA